ATTCCCCAAAGCTTTTCCCCTCCCCCAATTCCCCAATAAAATAAAATTTAAAAAAGCAATGCTGTGGACAGCTGGGGCTCATTCTCACTTGGGACCACTGAGGCACAGTATTAGTTCCCACTGCAGAATGGCCCTACCCAGGGGCAGGGGCCTTGTGGTGTTTATACATGCCCAACCTCACTTGGATTTCCCAGAAGACAGACTCCATGATGATTTCAGGGAAGGGGGTGTCCAGGAGGTGGTCCCAAGAAGCCCCAGTGGGAGATGGAGACAGGAGTCTGGGAGCAGGGAGGAAAGGACAGCTGCAGGGGGTGCCAATGAACAGGTAACTCCATAGTCAATGGAGGTTCAATTCTACTAACCTTAGGGGCACAGTGTAGAGCACACACCTGAGAATGCCCTACCCCAGGGCTGACCCTGGGGCACCTTTCCATCCTTAATTGGTTGAGGGTTCCCTGGGTGTTAACTCTCTAGCAAGGCCAGCATGCCAACAGGGTCCAGTGGCCAGAACCAAGTAGTCAGGCCACTTGACAGGTGACCTCAGCAAGCAGCTTGGAGCCCATGGCAGTGACTGTTTTCAGCAAGCCTCCTCCCCTGAGCCCGCATTTATATCTGTCCTATATATCTTCTAGTGGTCTGTGCCCAGGGCTTGCAGGCAAAGGACAAGACGGGATCCAGTGACCCCTATGTCACTGTCCAGGTCGGGAAGACCAAGAAACGGACGAAAACCATCTATGGGAACCTGAACCCCGTGTGGGAGGAGAATTTCCACTTGTAAGTGCCTGGCTGGGCCCCTGGGACCTCTTGCAGAGCTCCCTGTTGGGGCAGCCAAAGAGGGCTCCAAGACCAGCCCGAGCCAGCTACCTGACCCTTTCTCCCACCTCCCCCTGCAGTGAATGTCACAACTCCTCAGACCGAATCAAGGTGCGTGTTTGGGACGAAGATGATGATATCAAATCCCGTGTGAAGCAACGGTTCAAGAGGGAGTCCGATGACTTCCTGGGGCAGACAATCATCGAGGTGCGGACTCTCAGCGGCGAGATGGACGTGTGGTACAACCTGGGTGAGCGAGGGGTTGGTTCTGCAGGGGATGGGGAGGGAACCCCAGGAAGCCAGCCAAAGTGAGGAACTCAGCTGGAATGGAGAGACAGTGTCATTAAGAGTCAGTCTATGGGGGAGAGGGGTTGTCACTTTGAGGGGTAAAAAGTATAACTATTGCACTGTGTTGTACACCTGAAACTAATTAAAAAAAAGAAAAGAGTCAGTCTAAGAGCCCAATCGGATGGAGGAGGCAGGGTCTATGGACCCCAATCTGGTGAGGGAGGCATGGTCTGTGAGCCCAACCTGATAGGCACAGAAAAAACCCCAGCTGAAAGGGTGAACAGAACCTAGGAACCTCTTAGTTTAGTTTGGGAGGATGAGGGAAGGACAGAATCTATGTCTCCCAGTCTCATGGTGGAGGCAGGAAGTATGACCTGGGGATCCTCGTCTGAGGAGAGAGGCACAGACCCAGGAGTCCAACCTAAAAAGGAAGACTGAACTTTGAAAATCCAATCTAAAGGAGGAGGTATAGTTTGGGGATCCTAATCTGAGAAGTGAGTTACAGACCCAAGAACCCTGTCTAAAAAGATGAGTAGAATCGGTGAGCCCAATCTGATGGGGAGGCAGGGTCTATGAGGTCAATCTGAGGGTGTAGGAAGAACCCNGGGGCTTCTCAGAGGCGGGGTAGAAAGCGGGACAAGAACTTAGGCGGGACTCTGCGAGAAGGGTGGGGCACGAACTGAGGAGTCTGTGCGTGAGTAGGGGCGGGGCTCCTCGGAGGCGGGGTGGAGAGCGGGGGGAAGCAGAGGTAGGTGGGACTTTATGGATGGGTGGAGGATGAACAGAGGGCCGCTGTGGGCGGGTAGGTGCGGGATAGGGGCGGGGAGCGGGGGAGGGGTGTGATGGGTGGAATTCCTTGGTGGGGAGGATGGGGTGAGAAGAGAGCAAAAGAGGTGAAGGAGGGTCAGAGAAGGGTGGGACGGGGCTCAGGGACTGGCTTAACTGTGCAAGGGGCGGGGTTGATGAGAAGCAGCGTTACCCTGTAGAAAAATGGGTTGGGGTTATTCAGAGCAGGGAGTGGTTTCAGAGTGGGAGAGAGGTGGCAGAGAAGGAGCAGGGTCTTGGAGGGGGCAGGGGATTCAGAGAGAGTGGGTTCTGAAGGGTGAAAAGCCTGGTGGGAGGGGGGACTCAGAGACCAAGTAGGAAGCTTTAGCTTTGGGGGTGATTCACCTGAACCCCCATGGATTAAAGTGACCGTGGCCACTGCCGGGGAAGCTCTGTAGTGGGAGTCCGGTAGCTGACTCCGGTGAGGGGCGCGCCCTGGACAGTGTGGGCTGTCTGCTTCTACAGGAGCAGCGGAGAAGAGCTCCAAGCATGGGGCAGAGGACCGGACCCAGAACATCATCATGGTGCTCAAGGACCGCATGAAGATCCGGGAGCGCAACAAACCCGAGATCTTTGAGCTCATCCAGGAGATCTTCGCTGTGACCAAGACAGCACATACGCAGCAGATGAAGGCGGTCAAACAGAGCGTGCTGGACGGCACATCCAAGTGGTCGGCCAAAATCAGCATCACTGGTGAGGCTGTCGAGGGTGGAGGTGGCCGCTGGTCCCTCTTCTCAGCCCGCTGTGCTCCCTGCCAGGCTTCTTCCTCCCCATTGCTGCATGTACTTTAGCGTACCTGTGTCTTTCCCATGTCCACCTGTGTGTGCATTTCTGCCCAAGGGTGGGCATGTATGCCTCCAAACCTGTGTGCATGACACTCTATCTGGGTGCATTTTGAGTGGTGCCTCCAGAACCAGACCCCAGGAAAAGGAATTGAGGGCACATGGTTTATCTCGGAGGTGACCCCAGGAAGTCCCATGGGAGTTTGGAAGTGAGACTGGGAGGAAAGGAGCCCAGCACAGGGTGCCAACAAGAAGGCAATGCTGGGGCCGGCAGAGGGCTCAGTTGGTTAAGAGTTGGCTTGGGAGCATGAGCTGTGAGCAGCAGGGCCGCCAGTTCGGTTCCCACATGGGCCAGTGACGCTGC